AAATATACCCCTTTCCCAGTGGACTGTGTGTATGTTCAAGGCATAAACATAATTTTTATTCAGTTTGTGTCGGTGGACTTGAGTGCAATGCTTGACACAATGCATGGAACTATTCTCAAATTCCAGTTTGATAAACGAACCCAACCAATGAATAAGTGATTGACTGAACACTGTTTTTGTGGACATGATGTAGATGCACATGTTGAAAGATGGCTTAATTATGTGAAAGCACAGCTGCATTCAAAGTGTTGATTAATACAGTGATGTCAACCTGAATGAAGGATATAGTGTGTGTAACAGTCTCTATATTTGATTCTGTTATTTCAATATTTCTTAACTCTGAACTTGATGAATTAAGAATGGCTTGCCTATAAAGCAAAGGCTGATTATAACACAAAGCTGGGACATAATCATATATAGTACCAAAATACATATCAAAAGTATTACATTAAAAAGAGCAAATAATAAAACTATGTCCTGTTAAGACAATTGCATACATATATGAGCATTAAAACGTGCAAAGATGTACAAACAGGCAATGAGAATTTTACTACTGTGGTCTGGGGGAAAAAGTATTTTTAATATTTTACTGCATCTGTATTTCACACATATTTTCTTCTGCACAAGTATTATGTGCAGTAGAAAATCAGTGCAGAGACTGATCAATTTTTATTGATTTATTGATTCCATAAATGTAATCAGAAATACATTTATAAAAAAATAAGCAACATTAAATAAAGTATCTCACTAAAATACCCAAAGCTGCAGGCACATTTCCAGAAGCATAACATTCAGTGAAAGAAAACTTCAAGGGTTGCTGATCTTCACTCTTTATGCTACCTAGAGAGGAATTACTGGTTTCAGGTCTAGTATATTTTGAAAGAGATATTAACAAACTGGAATGCATCCAGTTAGGTTATAGGAAGACTGTGGGGTCCAGAAACCAAGTCAAATGGGAAAGATAGGGGAAGAAGAAGAAACATAACAAAAATGACCTCATGTTAGCATAATGTTTGTCTCCAAATATCTAAGTATGTCATCATACTAAAGAAAACCTAGAAATAATAACTAGATTTAGTAATACCGTGATTCTCTTTGTTTTGGCTTAATACACCTGAGTAATATGACACACTGCCATCAGAAATTGAGAATTGCTAGTAAAGATTATCAGCTGGAGGATTAATTTAGGCTCGCCAATTTGGGGAGTGATTGAGATGCACCTAAACATTTATATCGTTTGAAAACTACAACTAGATTATATATTGACACATTACTATGGTGATTATAATGGTGGTGGAATTTTCATCTGCACATCATTAAAATTGTCTCTTTAACTGCTTAACCTGTACCAAAAACTCTGTTAAACACTTTTTTAAAAAATACTCTTTCAGGTCAGGCGCAGTGGCTTACGCCTATAATCCCAGCACTTTGGGAGCCTGAGGTGGGCGGATGTTGAGGTCAAGAAATCGAGACCATGCTGGTCAATATGGTGAAATCCCAGCTCTGCTAAAAATACAAAAATTAGCTGGGTGTGGTGGCATGTGCCACCACATTTTTAAAAATGTATTTAAAAAAAAATACATTTTTATAAATGTATTTCTGAGTAGTCCCAACTACTCAGGAGGCTGAGGCAGAAGAATCACTTGAACCCGGGAGGTGGACGTTGCAGTGAGTCAAGATCACACCACTGCACTCCAGCCTGGCCATAGAGTGAGACTCTGCCTAAAAAAAAAAAAAAAATTCTTTCAATAATTTTGGGGGAACACAAGGTGTTTGGTTACATGGATAAGGTCTTTAGTGGTGATTTCTGAGATTTTGGTGTACCCAACACTCCAGCAGGGTACATTCCACTGAATGTGTAGTCTTTTATCCCTTACCCCCCTCCCAACCTTCCCCCAAGGCCCCAGAGTATATTATATCATTCTTAAGCCTTTGCATCCACTTGGTTGATGAACATTTAGGCTGGTTCTGTATCTTTGCAATTGTGAATTGTGCTATTGTGCTGCTAGAAACATGTATGCGCAAGTATCTTTTTCATATAATGACTTCTTTTCCTTTAGGGTAGATACCAATAGTAGGATTGCTGGATCAAATGGTAATTCTCTTTTCAGTTTTTTAAAGAATCTCCATACTCTTTTTCATAGTGGTTGTATTAGGAGTTTCTTTTTTTTTTAATTGTACTTTAGGTTCTGGGGTACATGTGTAGATCATGAATGATTGTTGCATATGTACATATGTCATGACAAGGTGGTTTGCTGCCTCCATACCCCAATCACCTGTATCTGGCAATTCTCCCCATGTTATCCCTCCCCAACCTCCCTGCCCCCAAATGCCTGTCCACTAGCCCCACCCAATAGACCCCAGTGTGTGATGCTCCCCTCCCTGTGTCCATGTGTTCTCATTGTTCAACACCCACCTATGAGTGAGAACATGCGATGTTTGATTTTCTGTTCTTGTGTCAGTTTGCTGAAAATGTTGGTTTCCAAGTTCATCCATGTCCATACAAAGGACACGAACTCATCATTTTTTATGGCTGCATAGTATTCCATGGTGTATATGTGTCACACCCTGTCCAGTCTATCATCGATGGGCATTTGGGTTGGTTCCAGGTCTTTGCTATTGTAAACAGTGCCACAATGAGCATATGTGTGTGTGTGTCTTTATAATAGAACAATTTGCAATCTTTGGATATATACCCAGTAAGGGGATTGCTGGGTCAAATGGAATTTCTATTTCTAGGCCCTTGAGGAATCGCCACACTGTCTTCCACAATGGTTGAACTAATTTACACTCCCACCAACAGTGTAAAATTGTTCCTATTTCTCCACATCCTCTCCAGCATCTGTTCTCTCCAGGTTTGTTAATGATCGCCATTCTAACTGGTGTGAGATGGTATCTCAATGTGGTTTTGATTTGCATTTCTCTAATGACCAGGGATGATGAGCATTTTTTTTTTGCTAGTTTTATGGTATGTTATTTTTTTTCCATTTATTTTATTGTATTTTAGGTTTTGGGGTACATGTAAAGAACATGCAAGATTGTTGCATAGGTACACACATGGCAATGTGATTTTCTGTCTTTCTCCCCATCACCTACATCTGGCATCTCTCACCTTGCTATCTCTCCCCAACTCCCCACCCCCCACTGTCCCTGCCCTATTGCCCCCCAACTGACCCAAGTGTGTAGTGCTCCCCTCCCTGTGTCCATGTGTTCTCATTGTTCAACACCCACCTATGAGTGAGAACATGCAGTGTTTGATCTTCTGCTCTTCTGTCAGTTTGCTGAGAATGATGGTTTCCAGGTTCACCCATGTCCCTACAAAGGACACAAACTCATCGTTTTTGATGGCTGCATAATATTCCATGGTGTATATGTGCCACATTTTCCCTGTCCAGTCTATCGTCGATGGGCATTTGGGTTGGTTCCAGGTCTTTGTTATTGTAAACAGTGCTGCAATGAACATTCGTGTGCACGTGTCCTTATAGTAGAACTATTTGTAATCCTTTGGATATATACCCAGTAATGGGATTGCTGGGTCAAATGGAATTTCTATTTCTAGGTCCTTGAAGAATCTCCACACTGTCTTCCACAATGGTTGAACTAATCTACACTCCCACCAACAGTGTAAAAGTGTTCCTATTTCTCCACATCCTCTCTAGCATCTGTTGTCTCCAGATTTTTTAATGATCACCATTCTAACTGGCGTGAGATGATATCTCAATGTAGTTTTGATTAGCATTTCTCTGATAACCAGTGATGATGAGCATTTTTTCCTATGTTTGTTGGCCGATGAGCATTTTTTCATATATTTATTGGCTTCACAGATGACTTCTTTTGAAAAGTGTCTGTTCATATCCTTTGCCCACTTTTGAATGAGTTTGTTTTTTTCTTATAAATGTGTTTTAGTTCTTTGTAGATTCTGGATATTAGCCCTTTGTCAGATGGGTAGATTGCAAAAAAATTTTCCCATTCTGTCTAACAACTGTTTCTTTTGCTGTACAGAAGCTCTGGAGTTTAATTAGATCGTATTTGTCTATTTTGGCTTTTGTTGCCAATGCTTTTGGTGTTTTAGTCATGAAATCCTTGCCTGTGCCTTTGTCCTGTATGGTTTAGCCTAGGTTTTCTTCCAGAGTTTTATGGTGTTAGGTCTTATGTTTAAGTCTTTAATCCATCTGGAGTTAATTTTAGTGTAAAATGTCAGGAAGGGGTCCAGTTTCTGCTTTCTGCACATGGCTAGCCAGTTTTCCCATCATCATTTATTAAACAGGGAATCCTCTCCCCATTGCTTGCTTTTGTCAAGTTTGTCAAAGATCAGATGGTTGTAGATGTGTGGTGTTGCCTCCGAGGCCTCTGTTCTGTTCCATTGGTTTATATCTCTGTTTTGTTATATTCCCACCAGCAGTGTAGAAGTGTTCCCTTTTCAATGCATCCATTCCAACATCTACTATTTTTTGATTTTTTGATCATGGCCATTCTTGCAGAATTAAGACAGTATCGCATTATGCTTTTGATTTGCATTTAACTGATCATTAGTGATGTTGAACATTGTTTCACATGTTTGTTGGCCCCTTATATATCTTCTGAGAATTGATGAGATTTGAGGGTTTCCTCTTGCTAATTTGTTTGAGTTCCTTGTAGATTCTGGATATTATTCCCTGGTTGGATGCATAGATTGTGAAGATTTTCTCCCACTCTTTGGATCATCTGTGAACTCTTCTGATTATTTCTTTTGCTGTGCAGAAGCTTTTTAGTATCTATTTGTAATTGTTTATGTTGCATTTGCTTCCGAGTTCTTAGTTAAGAAGTTTTTGCTTAAGTCAATGTCTGGAAGGGTTTTTCCAATGCTATCTTCTGAAATTTTTATGGCTTCAAGTCGTAGTTTTAATTCTGATCCATCTTGAGTTGATATTTGTATCAGACGAGAGATGAGGATCCACTTTCATTCTTCTAATGTGGCTTGCTAATTAGCCCAGTATTATTTGTTGAATAGGGTGTCCTTTCCCCACTTTATGTTTTTTGTTGGCTTTGTCAAAGATCAGTTGGCTGTAAGCATTTGAGTTTATTTTTGGTTTCTCTATTCTGTTTCATTTATCCACATGTCTGTAGACCAGTACCATGCTGTTAGGTAATTATAATATTGACAGTTAATATACCTCCAGATTTGGTCTTTTTTTTTCTTTGTCTTACTTTGGCTATTTTGGCTCTTTTTTGGTTCCTGATGAATTTTAGGATTGTTTTTCTCATTCTGTGAAGACTGATGATGGTATATTGCTTTTGGCAGAATGGTCATTTTCACAGTATTGATTCCTCCCATCCATGAGCATGGGATGTGTTTCCATTTGTTTGTGTCATCTATGACTGCTTTAAGCAATGCTTTGTAGTTTCCTTGTAAAGATCTATCACCTCCTTGGTTAGGTATATTGCTAAGTATTATTATTATTATTTGCAGCTGTTGTGAAAGGAGTTGAGTTCTTGATTTAATTCTTAGCTTGGTCTCTGTTGGTGTGTAGCAGTGCTACTGATTTGTGTACATTGATATTGTATTCTGAAACTTTACTGAATAAATTTATCAGCTCTAGGAGCTTTTTGGATGAGTCTAAGGTTTTGTAGGTATACAATCATATTATCAGTGAACAGTGACAGTTTGACATCCTTTTTACCAATTTGTATGCCCTTTATTTCTTTTTGCCTGACTGATCTGGTAAGGACTTCCAGTACTGTGTTGAAAAGAAGTGGTGCAAATGGGCATTCTTGTTTTGTTCCAGTTATCAGGGAGAATACTTTCAACTTTTACCCATTCAGTATAATGTTGGCTGTGGGTTTATCATAGATGGCTTTTATTACCTGACACTATGTTCCTTTTATGCTGATTTCAGTGAAGATTTTAATCATAAAGAGATGCTACATTTTGTCAAATGGTTCTTCTGCATCTATTGAGATGATCATATGATTTTTGTTTTAAATTCTGTTTATGTGGTGTATCACATTTATTAACTTGCACATGTTTAACCAACCCTGAATCCCCAGTATGAAACCCACTTGATCATAGTGTATTATCTTCTGATATGCTGTTGGCTTCCATTAGCTAGTATTTTGTTGATGATTTTTGCATCTATGTTCATCAGTAATATTGGTCTGTAATTTTGTCTTTTGAGTATCAGAGTAATACTGGCTTCATAGAATGTTTTGGGGAGGATACATTCTTTCTCTATCTTGTGGAATGGTTTCAGTAAGATTGGTGACAATTCTTCCTTGAATGCCTGATGAAATTTAGCTCTAAATCCATCTGATCCTGGACTTTTTTTGTTAGCAAATTTTTTATTGCAGTTTTAATCTCGCCATTTGTTATTGGACCATTCTGAGTTTTAATATTTTTCCTGGTTTAATCTAGGAGGGTTGCATATTTCCAAGAATTTTTGCATCTCCCCTAGGTGTTCTAGCATAAAGGTGTTTATAGTAGCCTTGAATGATCTTTTGTATTTCTGTGGTATCAGTTGTAATATCTTCTAACTGAGCTTCTAATTGAGCTTACTTAGATCTTCACTCTTCTTTTGCTGGTTAATTTCACTAATGATCTATTGATTTTGTTTATCGTTTCGAAGAACCAGTTTTTGCTTTTTTTTTTTTTTTTTTTTTTAATTTTTTTTTTTTTCTTCTTTGATTTTTTTTATTTTTCTTCTTCTGCTGGGTTTGGTTTGGTTTGTTCTTGTTTCTCTAGTTCCTTGAGGTGTAACCTTAATTGTCCATTTTTTCTCTTTCAGACTTTTTGATGTAGGGATTTAATGCTGTAAACTTTCCTCTTAGCATTGCTTTTATTGTATCCCAGAGGTTTTGATAGGTTATGTCACTATTATCATTCAGTTCAAATAATTTTTAAATTTTCATCTTGATTTCATTGTTGACCCAAAGATCATTCAGGAGCAGATTATTTAATTTCCATGTATTTGTATAGTTTTGAGTATTCCTTTCAGAGTTAATTTCCAATTTTATTCCACTGTCCTCTGAAAGGGTACAAAATATAATTTTGATTTTCTTATATTTATTGAGACTTGTTTCATGGCCTATCATATGGTCTATCTTGGAGAATGTTCCATTGCTGATGAATAGAACATATATTTTGCAGTTATTGAGTATAATTTTCTGTAAATATCTAAGTCCATTTGTTCAAGGGTATAGTTTAAGTCCATTGTTTCTTTGTTAACTTTTTGTTTTGATAACCTGACTAATGCTGTCATTGGATTACTGAAATCTTCCACTATTATTGTATTGCTTTCTATCTTATTTCTTAGGTCTAGTAATAATTGTTTTATACATTTGGGAGCTCCTGTGTTAGGTGCATATATATTTAATATTGTAATATTTTCCTGTTGGACTAATCCATTTATCATTATATAATGTCCTTCTTTGTCTTTTTTTTTAAAACAGTTGTTGCTTTAAAGTCTGTTTTGTCTGATATAAGAAAGCTATTTCTGCTCACTTTGATGTCAATTTGCATAGAATATCTTTTCCCACCCTTTTACTTTAAGTTTATGCCAGTCCATATGTGTTAGGTGAGTCTCTTGAAGACAGCAGATACTTGGTTGGTAAATTTTTATTTACTCTGCCATTCTGTATCTTTTAAGCAGAGCACTTATGCCACTTACAATCAATGTTAGTGTTAAGATATGAGGTACCATTCTATTCATCATGCTAGTTGTTGCCTGAATGCCTCACTTTTGTTTTCATTGTGTTATTATTTTACATGTCCTTGAGATTTATGCTTTAAGGAGGTTCTCTTTTGGTGTACTTTGAGGTTTTATTTCAAGATTTAGAACTCCTTTTATCATTTCTTGTAGTGCTGGCTTGGTAGCAGGAAATTCTTTCAGCATTTGCTTAAAAGATACAGAATGACAGAGTGAATAAAACTTTACCAACCAAGTATCTGCTGTCTTCAGGAGACATCACAGGACTCTTTGCAGACATTTCCCAGCTTCAGGTCTTCCAGCCATGAATACCAGCATCTGTTCTGGTAGAGGTGACAGGGGAGTGAAATGGATTCTGTGGGAGTCCTTTGTTGTAGTTTTGTTTAGTGCACTGGTTTTCTTGGATATTGATAACAGTAAAGTTGTCACATGGATGGATTCAGGATCTCTGGTTAGCCAGGGTGTTGTAGCAGTGGAATTGGTTGTTATTTTCTCGTTCTTTGGATGTGGGTTGTTCTGTTATGAGTTGCTGTAATGGCTTGAGTTAGTTGGCCTTCAGCCAAGAGGTGGTACTTTCAAGAGAGTGCCAGCTGCAGTAGTATTGTCAAAGGAGGATAAAATCTTGCCTTATGTTGGCTAGCACGAGTACCCAGATTTCTCAGGCAATGGCTAGAGCCACAGAGCTCCCAGGAGCTTTTGTCTTTTTCTTTGGAGTTTTCGGCTGTCTCATGGTGTTTGTAGCAAAAAGCCACTTCGTTCAAAGGGTCTGTGATTTCTTTTGGCTTTCCTGGTATGTTCCTGTAGTGGTTCTTGGAGCAAAAGTTCACAATGTGAGTCTCCAGACACTGTTCTATCCATCCAAGCAGGAGCTGCATACTAGTCACTTCTCCTAGTCACCATTCTTCCTTCTGCTAAATACTGTATAGGAACCATCTTATTCAGTTCTGATAAGATCCTAAAATGTAGGTATTGTTTGGCTCAACATAAAGATGATGGCACTGAAGTTTAGAATAGAGATTAAATATTATATAGTCAACAAATTCCGGAATTAGAATGAAAACTTGGTCTGTCTGAATGGAAACTTGTATTTTAAAACCTTATGCTATAGGAAAGGTAAACAGAAGGTATGATTTGGCTGAGTGTCATAGATTTCTGAACCTCAAATCAGGCACAAATTAGATAAGGGTCTTTAAAGTAATCACAGGAAGAATTCAAAATAAAACTGTTGAACCATATGACTCCAAGTGAGAAGTAGATTAATTCTGTTTCAGTTAGTATGTGTTTAACTGGAAGTAATGGAACATCTGCCTTAAAATGTCTTTACAAATAGAGATGTCTACTTTTTTTTTATTTCTCATATAAACGAGACCACATAGGATTTGTCTTTCTATGCCTGGAATCTTTCACTTAGCATAATATCCTCTAGATTTATCCACATTGTTGCAAATGACAGAACTTTCTTCTTTTTAAAGGCCAAGTAGTATTTCATTATAGAGAGTAAAATGGTGGTTACCAGAGTCTGGGAGTGGGGTAGATGGAGAAAGGGAAGATGTTAGTCAAAGGGTACAAAGCTTCAGTTAGACAACAGTAATAATTTCTAGTGATCTATTGCACAATGTGGTGACAACAGTTAAAAATAACGTATTGTATATTTTAAAATTACTAAAAAATTAGGTTTCAAATGTTCTCACCGCAAAAATAGGATAAGTATATGAGGTGATGGGTGTGTTAGTTACTTTGATTTAATCATTCTACAGTGTATACACACATACGTCACAACATCACATTGTATTCCATAAATATATAAAATTATTATTTGTCAATTAAAAATTTTCCCAGTTTATGCCTGATGTCCAGGTATACTTTTTGTCTTAATTTTTGTGGTTACATAGTAGAAGTATATATATTTATGGGGCATATGAGATGTTTTGATACAGGCATGCAATGCATCATAATCACATCATAGAGAATGGAGTATCCATCCCCTCAAGCACTTATCCTTTGAATTACAAACAATCCTATTACATTCTTTAAGTTATTTTAAAATGTACAATTATGTCATAATTGATGGGTAAAATTTTTTAATACTTTTAAGTTTGGGGTAAATGTGCCAATTTGTTACATAGGTAAACATGTGGTTTTTGTACAAATTATTTCATCACCCAGATATTAAGCCTAGTACCCATTAGTTATTTTTTCTGATTGTCTCCCTCCTTCTACCCTCCACCCTCCAATATGTCCCAGTGTGTGTTGTTCCCTTCTAATTGTCCATATGTTCTCATCATTTAGCTCTCACTTATAAGTGAGAACATGTAGTATTTGGGTTTCTGTTACTGCATTAGTTGCTAAGGATAGTGGCCTCCAGCTCCATCCATGTCACTGCAAAGGACATGATCTCATTATTTTTCGTCGCTGCACAGTATTCCATGGTGTATTTAAAAGATAAAGATGTCTGATTCTCTCACTTAAGAAAATACTCCAAGATTGGTATAGCAATTTTAAAACAGAAAGACCTGGGTGTAAGGTTTTCTACATCTGTATATATTTATTTATCTTAATAGGAAACACAAGGACTCTGAATAAAATAGACTGCTTACTCATGGAGTATCTAGCATAGGGAGGGTCCTTAGGCTTCCTTATCCATAAAATGTGAACAAATGAGTCCAAGGGAGACTCTAAATCACATTGGAGTAATCCACAATCTCTAGAACTGGGCCATATACTAATTTCTAGAACAATCAAAGTCAAAAAGGAAATCCATTACCATATTTGGCTTAGATCAAGTACAGAACAAGTTGGTATTCGAACAGAATTGGGGTCTAATTTCAATGCTTACTGAATGAGAAGATCTGCTATGACATCTAAGGCTAATCAATTTATTCAACATATGGCACCTGCTATATACTAAATATAGATAGGGAAAAAATACGTATATAAAAGTGAATAAGACAGTTTCAGATTCTTAGAAGCTCACAATATGGTGACAATGATAAATATTTATCAATTTTAGAGTGCATGTAGTTACATAACAGAAAATAAGTATTAAATATTAAGCATCAAATATTATCTTTTACATAAAAAAATTTTTATTGAATTGATTTCAAATGTGAATATCTTGTCATTGACATTGTCCTTTATTCTTATCTTAATGGTAATATTTTGAATTTGATTTTATCCTATGTATTTTCAAACATAAAAATATAATCATAAATATTTATATTATGTTATATATGTAACAAAATCATTGGTAATTATGATAACAGATAAAGCAAATTTGGTACCAATTGACCATTTTGTTGACAATCATGATTATAGATTCAAGTAAAAATGACTAAAATAATGAAGATGGACCCTTAAATTTATAATGCTCTCAAAATATGAAACAACTTACATTGGAAGACTGTAGAATGTTCATCTGTGAGGATCTGCTACACTAGGAACAGATATACCAGTCTGTAAATTAAATTATACTTTGAGTATACTCAGGGATTCTGCCAGAAAATAACATAGAGGCTAGATAGAACGTCACAAAGTTCCTTAATATGAAATGTGACATTTCATCGTAAATATAATGATGAGTTTCTTTTGCTTCTTACAAAAGACTGACCATCAACTGATGCATCAAGCAGTTAATCTCCAGGTTTCTTAAGTTGAACTCATAAGTCAAGGGCAAGACTAGAACAAAGTCACACATGCAAGTCCTTAGACACTAAGAAAGGCTCTTGCTGCAATGAGTAATGGGTCACCAGCCAGAATATTAATGACATCTACTACCCTGGTCTTATGAGAAAGTACAGAATCTATAAATGTACATTAATTAATCTATTCAGTCAACAAGTATTTATGGGGCATAAAGCAAATGCTATGAAAATCATGAGAGAAAAATAAGATATGCTCTTTACTTTTGAAGTACCTATAAACCACATTTACTCATGAAAAGTAATCAACAAATTTGGGCTTGAACTGGAAAGGTCAATAAATATGCATGGAATATATAAATGCAATAATTAAAATAACAAATGTTATGGTGACTTAGTGACTAGAGAAAAATACAAGTTGAAACATAAGGAGAAAAGTTCATGATTTTCATCCTGGAGGTTATATAGAGCTGAGAAGTTCAAATGAGAAAGAAAAAAATTCTAAGCAAAGGAATTAGCATAAGTAAAAAAATAGAGTAAGATTTAGGAGCAGTATGTTTGAGTGAAAACTGGATGTGCCTATTTTTGTGAGGTTTAGATTGTTTGTGTTTGGAAATAGTGGGAAGTTAATATGAAAGAAAAGACCATACCAAAACTCAGATTGCAAAGGGCCTTGAATTCAGGAATTATCCATAAGCAATGGGTACCAAGAGAAATTTTTGAGTAGAGTAGTGTTGTTTTAAAAGGATTAAACTATCTTAGGCAAATACAAGTAAGAATTTAAACTATTTACAGTTTAATAGCATGAGATATATTCGATTTTTACATATTTCTAAGGAATATGATAAGAAGATTAGCTTTTTTGAATCATTAAAAGTAAAGAGAGAGGCCGACACAGTGGCTCATGTCTGTAATACCGCCACTTTGAGAAGCTGAGGCAGGTGGATCACTTGAGGTCAGTAGTTCCAGACCAGCCTGGCCAACATGGTGAAACCCCATCTCTGCTGAAAATACAAAATATTAGCCAGGCATAATGGCACATGCTTGTAATTCCAGCTACTTGGAAGGCTGAGACAGGAGAATTCTTTAACATGGAAGGCAGAGTTTGTAGTGAGCCAAAATCACACCATTGCACTCCAGCCTGGGTGACAAGAGTGAAACTCCATCTCAAATTAAAAGAAAAAAAAAAAAAAAGTAAAAAAAAAGTAGGGAGAGAAAATACAAATAACATACATTGTTAAAATAAAATGTGACTAGTATAAAAATCAGGAGAACATTAGGATAATTGCAATCAATGTAGATGACCACCTAACCTCAGTACCTCTCCTATACAATAACACTTTCTAAACTGAAAACCCCATTTGCATTTAGTGAATGCTCATTTTTGAACAATTTTTTCTGTGTACTTTCCTTTCTTTGACACCCCCCCAGCCAATCCAATAGAAATCCTCGAGAAACTGCTATATTTCTTTCTAGGTTTAATACTTACAAAAGCTATTTAAATGAGGATTTGAAAATATAAAACTGAATACTCTTTCCTTTTAGATCATCCCCAAATGCAAGCCTAGTGTGCATTTAAAATTCGGAATTTCAATATGATATTTTCCGTCAACACAATTTGCTAATGTGCTTGTGAAAGATTGGGTCAGCATCCCTGAATTTGGTTATAAATTAGGAAAGAATATAAAACAGTAATTTGGGTGTTATTACATGAATGAACTATGCAATTTTATCATTATTTCTCCTATTAGCAGACAATTAACACTCTATCTAATTGCACTGTTCAATCAGGATGGCAATAGAATGGAATGGCAATGGAATGAAAGTGTGAATGTAGAGAACTGCAGTTTCTGTAAAGACTTACGCATTACCTCGGCGATTGCAAATATTTGATGATAATCTTGTGTCATAAGAGACTGCTTACTCAAAAGTCAAAAGAGATTTGTTTCTGGTTAACAATGTATATTTGTCCATTCTCACACTGCTAATAAAGACATACCCAAGACAGAGTAATTTATAAAAGAAAGAGGTTTAATTGACTCACAGTTCAGCATGGCTGGGAAGGCCTCAGGAACCTTCAATCACGGCAGAATGTGAAGGGGAAGCAAGGTGGCAGGAATGCAGAGAACCAAGTCCCAAGGTTGCACACAGCAGAAGGGCCCTGGACTCAGCCCAGGAAACCATTTTTATCTCTTAGGTCTCTGGGCCTGTGATGGGAGGGGCTGACCTGAAGACATTTTACCCCATTGACTTGGAGATTAACATTCGGCTCCTCATTACGTAAGCAATTTTCTGCAGCAGGCTTGCATTTCTCCCCCAGAAAATGGATTTTTCTTTTCTATCACATCTTCAGCCTGCAAGTTTTCCAAGCTTTTATGCTTTGCTTCCTCTTGAATGCTTTGCTGCTTAGAAATTTCTTTGCCAGCTACCCTAAATCATCTCTCTCAAGTTCAAAGTTCCACAAATCTCTAGGACAGGGGCAAAATGCCACCAGTCTCTTTGCACAGCATAAGTGACCTTTACTCCAGTTCCCAACAAGTTCCTCATCTCCATCTGTGTTAGTAAGGGTTCTCTAGAGGGACAGAACTAATAGTACAGATGTATATATAAAGGGGAGTTTATTAAGGAATATTGACTCACACAATCACAAGGTTAAATCCCACAATAGGCTGTCCATCTGCAAGCTGAGGAGCAAGGAAGCCAGTCCAAGTCCCAAAACCTCAAAAGTAGGGAAGCTGACAGTGCAGCCTTCAGTCTGTGGTTGAAGGTCCAAGAGTCCAAAAGCTGAAGCACTTGCGATCCAAGTTCTAGGGCAGAAAGCATCCAGCACGGGAGAAAGATGTAGTCCTGAAGCCTAAGCCAGTCTATTCTTTCCATTTTCCTCTGTCTGCTTTCATCGTAGCCATGCTGGCAGCTGATTAGCTGGTGCCTACCCAGATTGAGGATGGGTCTGCATCTTCCAGTTCACTGACTCAAATGTTAATCTCCTTTGGCAATGTCCTCATAGACATAACCAGGAACAATACTTTGCATCCTTCAATCCAATCAAGTTGACACTCACTATTAACCATCACACCACCTGAGACCATCTCAGCCTGGACTTTATTGTCATATATGATATATCACTGTCAACATTTTGTTCAAAGCCATTCAACAAGTCTCTAGGAAGTTTCAAACTTTCTCACATTTTATCTACTTCTGAGCCCTCCAAATGGTTCCAACCTCTGCCTGTTACCCAGTTCCTAAGTTGCTTCCACATTTTTGGGTATCTTTACAGCAGCACCCTACTCTCACCTGTGGTACCAATTTATTCTTGAGTCCATTCTCATGCTGCTAATAAAGGTATACCCAAAACGGGGTAATTTATAAAAGAAAGTGGTTTGATTGACTCAGTTCCACAGGGCTTGAGAGGCCTCAGGAAACTTACAATTATGGTGGAAGGGGAAGCAAACATGTCCTTCCTCATACAGTGGCAGCAAGGTGAAGTGCCAAGCAAAATGGGAAAAGCCCCTCATAAAACCATCAGAACTTGTGAGAACCCACTATCATGAGAACATCATGGAGTTAACCACCCCCATGATTCAATTACCTCTCACTGGGTCCCTCCCATGACACATGGGGATTATGGGAACTAAAATTCAAAATGAGATTTGGGTGGAGATACAACTAAACTATACCACATGACAACTGAGTTTTTTAAAAGGTTACTAAAAACCCATGATATACTTGTACTGGATTAGGAACTGTGTACACTAAAAACAAAACAAAACAACAACAAAAAAAAACCCTGACCTCAAGTATCATGCAACATACTTTTTGTCAGGTTATAGAAATGCAACGTGTGTTACTCAGGGCTAAGTAGTAACAACAGTGATATTTATAGAAATTGTATTTCATCTTTCTAGAAAGTCAGGAAAGGCCTCCATGAGAAAATGACATTTAAACTGAGGTTGAAAACAACTAGTATTTAGGATGAAGAATCATGGCAAGAAAAACATTAAAAGATTCAAGACAACACAGAACATTTAACTAGAGATCATAAATAAACTCATTTCCTAGGTGGAGAGCTTTCTACTCCAGCAATATTGGTATGCAGATGGTATCAGGAATTATATCTCCAGCCCAGGCCTTTAAATGTTGAACTCTAGCCTTATAATCAACTTCCTACTAAACATCTCTGTTTTAATGTCTAATATGCATCTCAAACTTAACCAGAAACTAACTAAACTCTTAATTCTCTAGCATTCCTCATTACAATAATTGCCACCTTCATTTATCCCAATTGCTCAGGAGGGAAAAAAATAGAGGAATTATTCACTCTTCACTTTAACTCACATTGCTTCTCTAGTCCATTCTGTGGGTTCTATCCTCGAAATATATTTTACATGTAACAACATTTTACTACCCCGACTACAGCAGTTTCACACCAAACCATCAGATGTCTTCTAAAGGATGGTAGCAGTCCTCTGCAAGTCCTCCTGATTTCATTCTGTTCTCCATAATATTCAGAATAATCCTTTAAAAGTGGAAATTATGTCACAATAGTCTTCTGTTAATAATCCTACAAAGATTCCATATCTTTCTCTCTACAAAAGCGAAAACCTTCTTCCCCTGTATGTTCACTTAGTCTGCCCTTTCGCTTCGGTTTCTGTCAAATTGTTATCTTCCCTGAGATGCCTCCCACTAAGTCACAATCAAAAATAGCATATTCTATTATTTCCTACATTATTATTCTAATTTTTTCCAAACGACCTCTAGGGTCCCTGAAGAAAGGACGTTTGGTCTGTTTTACTAACCACTCTTTCCCTGGTATGACCAATTTATGCTTAATGTTCCATTGTTGGAACGCTAAACATGGGAGTTATTTATATCCTACTGCTCAAGGTCATTGCCAAGATTTCATTGCAAAAATTCAAAAAATTGCAACCTCAGGCATAAATAGGTTAAAATAGTTCCTGCTGCGTAAGAGGCATTCAATAAATACCTTTTCTTGTCAATGAACAAATAGGCATAAATGGGTTAAAACAGTTTCTGTTGCACATTAGGTAATAAATACCTTTACTTGTCAATAAACAAATGAATGTTATACCTGAGATGTCAATAAACAGATAAAATCAGCTAGGAATTGTTTCAACTGGTCCCTAATTATACTTCAGGAGAAAAAAACAGTTACCAAAAGTATAATCTCCAGTAGCTTTCTAGTTAATTAGCTAATTGATTAATCAATGCCTTCATTTCTTTCTTCAACAAATATTTATAGAGCTTTACTATGTGTTTGACACAGATAGGTGTTGAGATTTCAAATATTGCAATGAAGAAAACAAATCATCTTACCCTATCAAGACATAAGCATAATAGGAAGGGAGGAAAGTAAACAGACAACTGCTATTTACTTTATTTAAAAAGTAAATCCTGCAACAGGGCAATGTCCTGAGAGCCTTAGAGAATAATCACCTTAAGGAGGCCAGAAAATCGTGGACGACTAAGAGAAGAGGCCTGAGTGCTGCTTGTCCTCCTCGGGAGAGCTGGCTGAGATTTATCGGCCTCTTTGGTTAAGGAAGTTGACACTTCAAGGACGTCTCTTGAATGTGGATTGGGACTAGACTGATCCTTCTCGTGAATGAGGAATGATTCGAACCAGAAATAAGTGAGAAGCCATACAGAAAAGAACAAGATGCCAAAACTGGTAATGAAAAATAAGATACGGAGAAACATGAAAGCAAATTAGGCAGCTGCAATGATCATAATTGGCACCTGTCACACATGATTTATTAAGAGCATCCCAAACTATGAATTTGTTCTTTATTTTAGTCATTATTTTTATAATGTGCATCCTCTAATTACATACTTCTGTGAAAAAGTCAGCATTACAGGCAAACTTTAGTTATAAAATATATGTAGATGAATTTCTTGACTGAAAGAAAAAAGAATGCTTCCTTTTTACCACTCTTACAGCAAAATCTAATGCTTTTTTCCCCTCCAGTTTTTAAAGCAATATACTCAGATTTTTAGCAGTATCACTCTTTGTGTGATTGAATAAAAAATGATGCTGACTTGATTGTTCTGGCTTCCTGCTCTCCCACTTCTGTGTAATCTTTTAAAAACTAACTTCTTCTGACAGCTCTGCTCAGAGGCATAGAAACCTAGATAAACGAAGGGAATTCAGAAACTTTCAGACATAGAAAGCTTTAACATTGCACAGAAAGCCTGGAACTTTAGCTGCACATTTCTTATGTGCAATGAAATAGACTGATTGTAGTTGGTGCTGAATAGAGAATGAGGAAAAACCTTCACTGTGGATATCCAGTGATCCCAGTATAACACTAAGGGTTATTATGCTAGTCTGCTCCTTTAATGCTCTGTGCCTGTGACCATCAGCCTCTGCTCTAAAGAAAATGTGGTACGTATACACTATGGATTACTATGCAGCCATAACAAACAAACAAAAACAGGTCATGTCCTTTGCAGGGACATGGATGGAGCTGGAAGTCATTATCCTCAACAAACTAACACAGGAACAGAAAATCAAACACCTCATGTTCTCCTTTTTTTTTTTTTTGAGGTGGAGTTTCACTCTTGTTGCCCAGGCTGGAGTGCAATGGCATGATGATGGCTCACTGCAACCTCTGCCTCCCAGGTTCAAGAGATTCTCTTGCCTCAGTCTCCCAAGTAGCTGGGACTGCAGGCATGTGCTGCTACACCCCGATAATTTTTGGATTTTTAGTAGAGACGGGATTTCACCATATTGGCCAGGCTAGTCTCGAACTCCTGATCTCAGGTGATCCACCCACCTTGGCCTCCCAAAATGTTGGGATTACAGGTGTGAGCCACCACCCCCACTTTTAAGTGGGAGCTTAATAATGAGACCACATGGACACAGGGAAGGAAACAACAGGCAATGGGGCCAATGGGGGGCTGGGGAAGGAAGAGCATCAGAATAAATAGCTAATGTATGCAGAGCTTAATGCCTAGGTGGTAGGTTGATTGATAGGTGCAGGCGACCGCCATGGCACACATTTATCTATGTAACAAAACTGCATGCCTGCACGTGTATTCTGGAACTTAAAATTATAGAAAAAAAAAAAAAAGAAAGAAAGAAAAGAAAATAGGACTAAACATCTATTAATATTTTCCTCATTAAATAACTAATACCACCACCAACAATAACAAAAACAAAGAAACAATGAGACTTTAGGGATTCTCCACATTTCTAGTGCAGTGTAAATAAAGGTTTATATGTATACTATGGGTGCTAAGTTAGAGGCTTATAGTTTTGAGACTTTCTGTGAAAAAGGAAGTTATTTAACTTTTTCTTGGCAGGGCCTGGGGGCAGTGCCTGGCTCTCACATTAGTCAATACTGTTCACATGTGAAACTCAGGATTTAGTTCTATGTGCCACTCAATTCATTTTAAAGAAAAAATTTGAGGCCTGCCGTGAGGCAGATGTGGTGCTACACTGAAGTAACAGTATAAACCCTGCTTTCAAAGAGTTGTTACATCTTGCTTTAAGCAAACTTTGGAGGAAATGTAAAAATTTAACTTGAAAAAAAGTTTTGTATTTCTGTAATACTGATTTGAAAGAAGATTGTATTTCAAAGGATATTTGACCTTGCTATACAGATTTTAAAAAGCACATTTTCATTTGAAGAAAGAACTTTCTTTAACCTCCTCTAAGGTTATATAAGACTGGTTTCTGATTCATTTTGATGTTCCTGGGCAGAATAGAATGATTTCATATTTAGTTCTTGGTGTGCCCATTAAGATACATTAAAAGGTAATAGTAACCATTTATTTGGAAGATACTATTAGAAAATTTTATATATGAGACCCTGGGATATAACAGGAGTTTCAAAATTCACTATTATATGCCAATTGCCCTCTGGGTTTCTGGAAAAATAAAGTCCAATTTAGGCTTTTGATTAGAACAGCCTTCTTCAATCAGAGTTCCATTAGACTAGATGACAGTCTTTTCACAGCGGCTAGTAAGGGCTCAAATCCTCAGGAACAGCAGACCAGCTGCTAGAAAG